TTTGCTTGTAAATACGTCTAGCTGCACAGATTTATAAATTCAGAAATGTACAAAGGAAAAATAATGAATGAATATTTTGATAGGAACATTCCTAACAATTCTACAAGGAAAAGGATATCCTTGCAGGAAGGAGAAAGGTGGAGTTCTGCCTATGTTGCATTTTTTGTTCAGCATTGTACAGTCTTTTGTAGGACACAGGAAGAGGATACGGAAGTTTCTACAGGAAGAAAGAGAAAAGTTCAAACATAAACAGTAGCCAAAAATTACCAGCAGGTCATTAGATTTCCTCTTGCTTGATAAGTATTTCAATATAAGCCAATATACTGTACATGTTTTAAAAGTTAACACATTAAAATGTATTTGCTAAATGTGCTAAAGAAGGACATCTATAAATAATGTTTATATTGCAGTGCCTACTATGAATTCTATTGCCAGCTGCAAGAAATGTAAGGAGATTTTAAAAACAAAGCCTGTTGATGGGGGGGAAAGAACTTGAACTAAGCTTGCAGAAATTATGCTTGCACATGGGGTAGAAGCATTATTACTTTGTGACCATTGTCTCTTTTTTTTTTGTAAGTGGAGCTGGATGATTGCATTCCTGTGCTCTGTGCGTCTCAGTCAGGAGTACACAGATAGTAATAATCAATCCATTCATCATTAATTTTCAGTATTCCTAAAATGGTGGGGCACTAGACAGGAAAGATTCCTCACTGTTAAGTCTTATGCTTTTCAAACTACCAGCTTTTGGATGATCACTTAAGACCTGCAGCAGTGTAATGAAGTATGTATCTTTTAATTGCCACAAATTTCCTGGAACCACATTTTTCAAAGTGTGGCCCTTCAACAAAATCTTTCCCCAGAAGAATCTGGGCACAAAAGGGCTGAAATCAAAAAAGCATTCTTTGAATTGTTTCATGCTGTTTCTCCCAGGCTCAATACCTTTTTATTTTTTTCTCTCTAGAGCAGGATAAAGAATCCACAGACTACAAGTAGCCCCAAAATGTCCCAAGATCACACTGTTGCAAATCAGCAGCATAATAGCTTGATTTTTCCAATGCAATTTTGGGCTGTTTTTGAGGTTTTGATAGGATTTTAGGAGTTGGAATGATAGCAGCTGGCCTCTGAGTGGTTTCCTGAACCTCTTCCCTTCCTTAACACTCCTACAACAACCCCGCCCCCCAAAGCTGTACACTTTTCTATTATATCGCTGCAGACCTTTGCAATGCTCCTGAAAGCTGGGAGCAGCCCCATTTTTGCTCTAGAGAGCTTCTTTGGGACATGCTTATTGGAAGGTGACTTCATCAGTGCTGGATTTATGTTCCTCCTGTTCTTAGAAGCATAATCTTTTTGCAACCAATTGGGGGAAAGGCAAGCTAATAATGGTAAATTAAGAACGTTAATTGTTGCCTTCCACCTACACTTAAAACTAATCTAAGGCTTGTGTAACTATGTCCTGTATATCCAGGAACACAGGAATGTATTATTTGCTGACCAAGAGTAGCAGCAGAGCAGAGATATTTGTGAGTGAACCTGGCTATCTTTGTTACAGTTCTGATGCATGCAAGATGAGGCACAAATTATATGTATTTTCCTGATGATATCTTATTTATGAATTAAAAGCCAAAGGTCAGAAAGCATGGAGAAGGAACTGAAAGAAGTTTTGTCTTCTTTCAGAAAGTACTGTGAAGCTGCAAATACAGTCACTCCTGCCTGATTCTGTTTCTTGTTACTTCTCTAAAGAAGGCTGCAGTCCTATGACCCCTGACTTGGAAATAACTCTAATTGAAGACCAATTGAATCAGTGAACTGAGATATTGGGCTATTGGAGTAACACTGCTGTGATGAGTGAGCTCATCTAATAGTGGCTTAGTCAATGAACAATAGTTACACAAGCCTTAGATTAGGGCAATGTAAGAACACAAAGCTTTAAGATGATCATGTTGCGGTAATTCCATAGTTTAATTTGGAATTTTGCAAAGAAATATATTGTTTGGTTTGTCCTTAATCTCCTGCCATTCAGTTTCATTAGGTGACTCCTAGTATTATGAACGAAATAGAAATGATCTCTCATCCACTGTAATTATGTGAAACACTACTATTTTTTTGCCATTTCTTACCTTTTCTAAACTAGAAATCCCCTAGTGCTGTACCAGGGAGGAAGTGGAATGGATGGGTGCCTGTATTAGTGTTTGTTTCTCTCCCTGACTGTTTTTCACTACAGCCCTACCCACTGCTGGCATGTGGCTTTGGCCACATTTCCCTGGAGGAAACACATTCATCCAAGGAGAAAACAACAATCTCTGTCTTGTTCCAAGGCTCCTGAGTTTACTTAGATTGTTTATTGAAGGGCTTGTAAAAAATAGTTTGAAAGTCAATATTAATGGCTATACTTGGACAGCACAACAAGCCAGGGTTAGAGCTTAGCTGCAACTGCTCTGGCTCATACTTGCTGGTTCCTCCCACACACGGGGTGTGGGTAATGAGCTGTCCGTTGTGCTGCAGATCTGGCTTGCCATGTTGTGCAAATCAGATGCAAGGGTTTCTTCCAGCTGGAACTGAAACAAATACAGGTTTCTTTATTTTGCTTGGTTTTCACAAGAAAAGCCAGGTGCAGAGTGTGAAGACACAGACAGGTAGTCATATGCTAAACTTGGGAGAAACCAATGGCATACATGCGGTGTTTCTCAACAACACTAGTCACA